AAAAGTGGAAGGCTTGTACTTGGTTTAGAGTTTCCTTTTTGTCAAGAAATAACAACCCCCCCACTATCTTCTTAATATAAAGGTTGATTTTCTCAGATTGAAAATACAGAGAGATAGGGCCTAGTTCTGTGAGATGAAAAGTTAAAACATTCTTTTCATTCTTTCCAATGAAAACTAGAGAGGGACTTTAGAATGGTGAAGATCCAAGTGTGACTCTTGTAGTTTCATGTAACATGAGTTTTTGGTTCGTGATGGTTCATGATCATCAAAGAATAGGATATTGGAGCACTTGAAACACTCATGCCAAGATCTTCAGATATGTAATCGGGTAAAGTATTAAGTCCCAAACCCAAAATAGTTGCCACATATGATTTTGTATATTTATTCTTTATTTATAAATAAGGGTAACCACACATGAGGAAATGTCCGATTACGAGCTCTTAACTCACTCATACTTCCATAGCCAACATAAGCAACTATACCTTGTGGGTTTGCTTTGCGGGACAATTTATTGTTATTGGAAACAAGCACATGACCTAAAGATACCAAAAACAGAAACAAAACTACTTACATGCATGCATCAACCTGGGGATAAGATCATAATAAGTATGTTGAAATGTTTGAGGAAAGAGCATAATCTTACATGAACAAATGATTGGTTGTTAGATTAATAGAAGATCATATATTTGATGACCTTCTACCAAATATTTGGCAACAACTTAGAGAAATTAAGTTCTCACGCCAAGTTAAGCAAATAAAAAGGAAAAAATATACATGTCTTTGTGTCAAATTGTCCCCTTAACTATCATGTCTCTTACATTACACCAATAACTCATGCTATTAGTTTCCTGTTGCCGTAGTACAAATTAGATAAAAAGTAGTGTCATTTTGTCCTTCGAAAATTGATTTTCTTTTAATTTTCTTAATGATGTAATGAAATGTGAACATTTTCTGCGCAAAAAATAGGTTTTGTAATTGTGAAAGAAGAGAATAAAAAATGAATAGCAAATGTATATTGCTTTGGTGTAAATTATTCTATACATGAGAAAGTTTATTTGTAGTACAAGAGAGTAGTGAAGCTGTCTAGTCTAATCAATGTGGGACAAACATATACATTTATATCCCTCTGAAACTCAATGAGGTTAAGTAAAAATCAACTTTAGTTTGGAAATCAAATCATGAAATCGGCCTGGTGAATATGCCTTCGTGAAGATCTTAGTAGTTTGGTCAAATGAAGAAACATAGTTCATCAATCTCAATGTGTTTGGTGCGATTATGGAAAACATCATTGTGAGCAATCTGTATCACACTCCAATTGTCACAACAAAGAATAAAGAGTGGCATCAGGGAGAGGTATGCCATCCAAGGGAGTAAGGCAAACATTTTGCTCTAATGGGGTAGGTATAGTCTTGCAATCAGTGAGTCCAACACGAGTAAAAAGATTAGAAGCATACTTAGCCCAAGAGAGATAATACCCACTAGAGTCAGACAAGATTTCAAGGTGTAAGAAGTAGTTGAGATAACCAAGATCTTTCATCTCAAAGTGTGTGTTGAGAAAATGTTTAAGATTAGAAATACCATAATTATCATCCCTAGTGATAATCATATCACCCACATAGAGAAGAAGTAGAGTAGTGCTACGCTCAGTCTTATGAACACAGAGAGCCGAGTCATAAGGGCTGGAAGAGAAACCAAAATCTCCAATAGTAACATTAAACTTTGCAAACCAAGCTCTAGGGGATTGGTTGAGACCATAGAGTGCACGATGGAGTCGGTAAACCTAATGTGGTGAATAAGGATACTCAAGAGGAGGCTGAATGTAGACTTCCTCAATAAGTTCACCATTGAGAAATGCATTTTTGACATCCATCTGATATAATTTCCACTGGTGAGTGGCAACAACAGCTAGTATGCTTAGGCGTTGAAAAACTTGATGGAAAGTGAGCAAAAATCTCCTCATAATCAATAATATACTCCTATGTAAAATCCTTTGCCACTAGATGAGTCTTGTAATGCTCAATAGAACCATCAAAGTGAGTCTTGATCTTATAAACCCATTTATAACCAATAGCTATTTTGCTAGGAGGAAGATCAACAAAATTTCAAGTATGTATGTCAGCTAGTGCCTATAACTCTTCTGTCTTTGCTTGTTGTAAATGAGGGTTAGAGCTAGCCTCACGATAAGAGTGAGGCTCATGCTGACAGAGAATAGTGGAGAAACAATGATAATTATGCAAATGAACAAGAATGTTCCTTATTTGAATGGAATGACGCTAGGAAATGTGTAGAGAGTTCAAGAGTTGAGCGATCATCACCATCGGTATGAAGTGGGACAAGAGTAGGACCAGGATCAGTAGGCAAGACAGAAGCCTTAGGATGGTCCATAGATTGGAGCTCAAATGAGTATGGATGTGGGTCTTCAGGATATAGATCCATAGGTTGACCAGAAAATAAAGGAAAAGTAAGGGCAGATGAAAGCTAAAACTGAAACAAGGAGGAGAACATCTTGTGTTTCCAGAAGACGACATGTCGAGAAACACAAAGACGATTGGATTATGGATCCCAACAATGATAACCCTTATGTTCAATCCCATAACCCAATAAACAACAAAGACGTGCCCCGAGGTTCTAACTTGGTACGCTCATGAGGTTGGAGTAAGACAAAACATGCACAATTAAAGACTCGAAGAGAGTGGTAATCAAGGGAAGTGCCATACAATCGCTTATGTGGAGATTAACTCCCGATAATAAGATAGGGAATATGATTGATGGTATAGATGGTAGTAAGAGAAGCTTCACCCCTAAAATGCTCAAGACGTGAAGAAGAGATGAGAAGAGCACGAGCAGTATCAAAAATATGACGATGTTTACGGTCAACACGTCCATTTTGTTGAGATGTGCCCAAACAAGAACGATGAAGAATGATGTCATGTTGACTGAGAAAGTTAAGGAATGTGGTGTTTCTATATTCCATGGCATTATTAGATCTAAAGACTTTAATGGATTGCGAGAATTGCATTTGGACCATTTTTGGCAAAATTGTAATAAATTTATGAAAACTAAGATCGAGTTTGTAAAAGAAAAATCCAAATGAAACAAGAATAGTCATCAATAGATATGACAAAATACTTTAACCACCCTATAGTAACAATTGGAGAAGGTCCCTAAATATCAGAATGAACCAAATCAGAAAGGGTAGAAGATAAAGAGTTATTGTTATCGAAAGGTAAAACTGACTGTTTTGCAAGTTTATAAGACACAAACAATCAAGTTGTTCACTATGAACATGCCAAAACTGACCATTGGAAATTAAATACTATAGACGACTTGAAGAAACATGATCCAAACGAGAATATCAAAGATTGAAAGGAGAGTTGGTCAGAGCAGAAGCAGCAATAGTAGACAGGATTGAGGAAAATAGTCATTGTGGAAGACACAGATGGATAAGCTCAAACAAACGCCCATGCTTATGGCCTATACCAAGGGTCTGTCTTGTCTATAGATCTTGGATAAAACAATTAGAAGAAGAGAACAAAATAGTGAATTCGAGGTCACAAAGTTGACCACATATATGAGATTGAGAGTAAGATTAGGAATGTGATAAGTATGGGGAAGTGACATGTGGGATGTAGAGGTACGTCCAACATGATTGACATGCATATGTGAGTCATCTGCAGTGTAAATGGGTAGAATAGAACCAATATATTGTGTGGAAGAAAACAATGATTCATCGGGGGTCATGTGGTTATAACATGCAAAGTCAATGAACCAAGATAATTTACTTGAAGTGGCAAACAAAGCAGTAGAAGATGGATTAACTAATACATAAAGAATCTGTTGAGGATAGCCGCAAGATCACTGACACTGAAGGTCGAAGAAAGAGACTTTGGAGGACAAGAGTCATTGACTATAGAAGCAATAATGTGAGAAACAAGTATAGACTTATTGTTGGATTGATTACCAGATTTGTATTACTGGTTGGTGATAGGTCTACCATTCTTAGGTGCATTATGGTACAAATTTTATCGACAGTTACTCAGATAGTGGCTTGTGCTCTTTTTATGACAAAACTTGCAAACTCGGGTAGGATAGTTGAGTAGAGTATGATCAGTTTTTGTGACAATATGAGTAGTGAAACTAGGGTATATCAGATAGTGCCATAGTGGATTTTGGATGATCAGTGAACGACTGGAAGGTCAACGGAGGACGTTGAAGGATGGCCAAGAGACGATCGTAATGTCGCTAAAGGATGGTCAAAGGTGATCGGAATGTCGCCGAAAGATGGCAGGAAGGTCACCAGGAGATGGTCGAGGGTAGATCGGGACGTCGTTGGGGTAGATCGGAACATCATCGGAGGATGGCCAAGAGGTTGTCGAAGGACAGCCGGAAGGGAGACTAACGAAGAGCCTCAAGAGTTCTAATGTGAAGGATCCCTCGTAGGACAACCACATAGCATACTATCATTGGCTACAAAGATTCACGAGCCTAGGCTCTGAGACCATGTAAAAGAAGAGAATAAAAAATGAATAGCAAATGTATATTGCTTTGGTGTAAATTATTATATACATGAGGAGGTTTATTTGTAGTACAAGAGAGTAGTGAAGGTAACTAGTCTAACCAATGTGGGATAAATAATATACATTAACAGTAATAATGTGCAATCAATTTACCTACTTGAAGAGTAACATAAGAAATAGTTGGAGAGGGTGAAATGAAGTCTGGAAATAGCTTAAAGAGCCAAAGCCCAATTTGTCCCCAAAAAGTGCTGGATGATGCTACAATTTAGCTAAGATTGGCGAAGATGGTGGCCACCAACACCTCTCATCAACATCAAACACTTTGTCTCCTGTTTACATATATTACTATATCCAAATAGCATCATTGACAGATCGCCATTGGTGAAATATTAAGCAAAAAATTCCATGACATTACATTATTGAAGAACACTGCAGGATTAAAACCAAAGTATGAAGTGATAGATAAAACTTAGAGATGCAAAATCAGGCCCTGGAATCCAAAGCCATGGCGGTGCTGAGATTCATGGGGGTCATATACTTGCTGGAGCCGGAAAATATCTGTTTTACAATAAGACTGTTGGCCTTTTCGGAAGGATGGAATGAATCCCAAAACGCGTACAAGTCTCTGTTGGGGCACAAGTTTGATATTGCTGTACAAAGGCCCAACCCATTGTATGGACCTTGTCCACAGCATGCTATCTTCGATGTAACAAACCCTGTCCAATCATAATATTAGGAGTTATCAAATAATATAAAACTACATTATGCATACTAAACTTACCCAAATAAATTGGTTAAGGTAGCTCGAATGACTAGACTTCGGGTGGTTAATATATTGAGGTCAGAAGTTCAAGTTTCGTAAGACGTGTATGTTGGTGATTGATAGACAAAAGAATATTGAGTGAAAACTAAAGTAGATATATGCAATTTATTATGGTTCACAATAACTTCTATTCGCTCTAATTGCTACCCAGGCTTTCTTTCCAAAAGATAGAAAAATTAATAAGAAGCTGACTCACCATGGGCTGTAGGATTGGTGATGAAGTCCATGTGCATTTGATTTGTGTTTGCCCCCATGAAGACATCGGTGCCTATTTCCTTATTGAGCTCCTTTATCATTTCAACTAGCTCCGGGTTGAATAATGACGCCGCCCGTTGAAGTTCGGTTGCGCATTCGCCGTTTATGCTGTGCTGGGCCAATTCTGCTGGAATACAACCTAGTGGTCCTGTGCCTGTCACGATAACCCTGCGACCTCCCAGGTCATAGATTTTCTGCATTGATATTAGGATATATAAGGTGAGAGAATATTGAAGGCAATTGGAGGGAAGAATTTTTTTTTTCTTTCTTTGTTTCTGTTTTTCTTGAAATATATATATATATTGTTAAATTAATAGCCCTCAGATGGCTTCCTAAGATCCCCAAAAATAAAAAAAATAAAAATACACACACACACACACACACACACATATATATATATAACTTATTCAAATATATAAGTGACTAATTTTATTCAGAAAATATAATTAGTGAAAACCAAAAAGATTTTGCAACATTATGCAAATGATCTAAAAGATGTAGGAAGGCACGTTTAGTTCAAAAATAGCCATGGATAAGGGCTCAATTGTCCCTCTCATTTGTAAGGCTACTTTTATTATTATCATTTACCATTTTCGGATGGACTCAACTGCAAACTATGTACATTGGTCAAACTCATATTTTAAAAATTTCGCCTCAAGATGTTAAACATTACCATGTTTTCATTTGACCTTTATAAGTTATGCATGCACAATCACAATTATTAACAAACCCAGATTCTGTTAGGTCAGACTCAATTCATGAGGTGAGTCTAAATTAGTTAAAAGGCGGATCAAGTCCAATTCATCGATCTGACCCAATCCAGAATTCAAAGAGTTAAGAAGATTAGAGTATGTGGAGAGCAATCATCAGAATAGTCACTATTAAAAATCAAGACAATCTTTAATTGTATTTATACTTAGTTGTAGCTATCTTCCTTGAAGAACTAATACATTTACTTTCATGTCACCATCTCAACTAAGACTTTGTGTTTATAAATTATAAGCCTCCTCCACATGAGAGGGGCATCTCTCTATACACCTTACACAACTATCTCTCTAATAGCTATCAAGAGTATACCCTTGTTCTCTCTCACCTTACTTAATTAATAAAGGTTCTTCAGCCATCGTTGCCGCTTTCGGAGTGGAGTAGCCCCCTGACCGAACTACTATACATCTGTGTGTTGACCCAATATTTGTCTTTTGCTATTGATTGTTTTATTAATTGTTCATTAATTACTCTATCTTACACAGTCGACTGTTGATTGTGCATAAGTCTGTTTTGTGAATCATCAACTATTACTATATAGTCATTATAAGTCTTATCCCTCTCCCTCTCCCTTTTCCCATTTTACTTTGTTGCAATCACGCACAAAATAATTGTGTACAGACTTTCTAGTATAATAAAGAGGATACAATAAAGGCCACCGTTTAAGATGAAAAATGAAAGGAAAACAAAAAAAGAAGAGCAATTACCTTTAAAATTTTCTTGTACTCGACGATGAGGTAGTGGACATATTCTGGGAGGGAATATTGACGAGACCTTGCAGAGTAGGGCACCAAGTAGTAGTTGTTCACAAAATCGTTGCCGCCAAGGGTAACGAGAACAAGTGCTTCGTTTACAAGTCGCTTAGTCTTGTCCTCTCCTATAAGAGCAGCCACTCGTTGTTGGTACGCTTTGAAGAATGCCAATTGTGAGGGTACCCTAATGATGTTCACCTACAAATGTAGAGATTGGGCCAATGCTTAGTGTGAATGACTTTCATGTTAATTAGCATTTAAGGGAGATATGCATGTGAGGTATTACTTGTGTTTATTTTAAACAATAATAATGTTATCGGGATATAATCATCTGACTTAATTGTTGATTTAATTCGCTGCTACCATTAAATTGATAGTGAACTTCATTTAATATTAAGAGTTACTACTAGAACATCGGATGGAGTTAGAAAATTACATCCATTTGTTAGGAATAGCTTGTTCTTTGGTTAAAGAGTTATGCAAGGCATGATAAAATATCCTCTCCAATTTCAGTTCTCGTCCAATTGTTTTTGCAGACAATAATTTATCATGAATTTAGGTGGTTTTGTTATATTGAAAAGGGGCTTCTAGACAATTGGACTGAAAAGAACAAGGAGAGAATTTAGAATTAAATATTTGAATATGAGATAGGCTTTGAAGTGTATAGAGAAAGTCCCGAACTGACCATGCAGCAAAAAAGGGAAAAGGAAAAAAANAGATTTGAATAGGAGATAGGCTTTGAAGTGTATAGAGAAAGTCCCGAACTGACCATGCAGCAAAAAAGGGAAAAGGAAAAAAAAAATACGTACAAACTGGATTCCGGTGTCATTAAGTATACCAATCCCAGCAGAAGCAAAGTTGGCACCAACAAGCAAGTTTTGGTCCCTGAGCTCTGGACTCAAATAGGGCAATGTTGGTTCCGATCCGATGTGCTCACCTGATAATATTTGAGGGAAATTGATAAATCATATGCATGTATATGAGTATGTAAGGACAAATCATAGTTATGCATTGAGAGAGCCACACCCCTATCATTTTTTTGAAAATTCTGCAAGGGAAAGCAAAAATAAAGCACTTCTATTGGTACTTTTTGATGCAAAAGGTGGAAGAAAGCGGATGTCACATCCGAAGTTTGTCTTTTGTTTACTGGGATCATTGGAGAAATGAGCCTTCCTTCTCTCTCTCTCTCTCTCTCTCCCCTCCAACAACCATACACACTCTCACTCACGGGAAATTACGAAGACACCCATAATCGCACTCTCACACCCCAACAAGCTCTAGAGATAATGGTATGTGCATGCATACTTGAAGTAAACAATTCTTGCCAATCTGACAACACCTCTCGTTTTTAGAAACTATAATGAAACATCCATGAAGATTTATTCCATTCCATACACCTATCTAAAATTCTGTGAACTAGATTTGTCCANATCTCTCGTTTTTGGAAACTATAATGAAACATCCACGAAGATTTATTCCATTCCATACACCTATCTAAAATTCTGTGAACTAGATTTGTCCAAGGAAAATGCTATCTATGTTCTATCCCGCAAACAGGCAGACATGCACATGCATAAAAGTTGAACAGTAAGGGAAAGGTTTGCAGCACTCAACTAATAATGTCAGGAATGTTGCGACCATTAGAGAATCGGCCAGTGGGCCGATGGGTCGGATAATCGATGCCATAAGGAGGAGAGTCTGCGCGAGCGCTGGTAGCCAGGTAGTTGTTGTTACCACTGTCAACAAGGGAGTCTCCGAAGACGAAGAACGCTCGGGCCTCAGCCTGAAGAGCCGTGGTTCCCAGAGCCACCATGAGGCCCAAAATCATCACAAGGGTAGGAAATGGTGAGCCAGCCATGACAAAGGCTTCAATCAAACTGCTCTTAGGCTACAAATTATATTGCAGACTAAGACTCTTGTGCACGAGCTTGAAAAACTTGACGTGGGTATATATAAGCGCAGGTGTGTGTGACTTGAGATTTGAGACTAAATCAATGGTGTCACAGCATGGACCACACTATCCCAGGTGGAGCAGTGTATTCAAGTGGACAGTTGTTTGCCAGAGTTGAATTATTTAATCATTTGGAAGGCTTCTCATGTGGCCAACTCGGAGTCTATTCCCACCTTATTTACTCACAACCCTGAAGAAGTGATACCGGGTAATTTCATTTAATATATTCCTTCTTCATTTCTTTTTTGAATTTTCAGGAGTTTCTAGATTAGTTTATGTGTACTTTCATTAATTCCTTCTCTTGTCCGATTAAAAACAGGTCATTTAAGTAAGAATTGAGGTATTCATGAGAGATAAATTTCTCTGAACTGATCCCAAAAAATTGTGAAGATTCGAATTCATGACATCTAGATTTGTAGCTTGTCTCAATTATCACTTGAGTTATCCTTTTAGTTCTTTCTTCGTTCATTTATATGAGATTGAGTGAGATATTCATAAGTTACACACCTGATACGAAATTAATAAATTATAATAAACATTATTAATAAACATTTTTGAATTAGTACTAACCACTAATACATTTAACCGTTTCATCATTTTATTTCTTTATTTTTAGGACAGGTATAGGCTAAATTCTTGTAGAATTATATTATCTACTTGATTTGCTAGCATAGGGGTTAGGTAGTTTTAACGTTGATAAGTTGCTCAAGTAGTTGATTTGGTTGATAGAGAAATGAATCTTAATTTTAGATTCATACTTCATAGATATTCATGTTGATCGAAATAAATAAATAGATCATGTTAGTAATAATGTATATGATATGATTAGTATCATTAATTAAAATAAATTTAAATAGGAGTAATTTTCAACACGAATTCGGAGCAAGAAGATGCCATTAGGCTCCATTGCCACAGTCATCCCTAGGCGGAGAACGCTGAGTGCCGTTGGGGGTTGGCTAATGCTGTGTAATCAATGCACTAAACAAATTTCTTGGCTTATGTTACCTACGTCATAAAAGCTGCAGATTTAAACAACCTCAACATTCAATCAATCACATGGCTAATATTTATTATCGGATTACTTTAACTTGTGCATCTATTGTACCTAAACCGCACTTTTGCATTGAATGTTAATGTTATGTTTGATACGATAGAAAAATAAAAGGATAAAAAATTAAAAGGATCAAAAGTTAGAGGAATCGATAAAATGTCATGTTTGGTAAAAAAAAAAAATAGAAAAGATGAAAAAATAGATAAATAAATTTTCCTTCCAACTCACTAAAATCAATTCCTCTAAAATTGAAAAAAAAGTNCGAAAGTTAGAGGAATCGATAAAATGTCATGTTTGGTAAAAAAAGAAAATAGAAAAGATGAAAAAATAGATGAATAAATTTTCCTTCCAACTCACTAAAATCAATTCCTCTAAAATTGAAAAAAAAGTTGATGAAAAGTTAATTATTTGTGTTGAAATGTATTTTATTTGTCTATATATCGTTTGATATATACATACTAATTATTGTCTGTGTCTGAAGACATAAAATAATAAACAATAAATATATTTGTATTCATATCCAAAATTAAATCGTAAACATAGAGAAAAACTAAAAAAATTTTAACAACGATTTGTAATGGGTGTGAGAGATAGTGGGGCAATAGTGGTGGTGATAAGAGATAGTAATAGTTGTGGTAGTGGTAGTGGCGGTTGCGACGATAATGGTGGTGGTGGTAGTGGCAACTGTGGTGGTGATGGTGGCGATGGCGGTGGTGGGGATGGCGGTGAGGGGTGGCGGCAACAGTGGTGGTAGTGGTGATAGCGGCGACAACGACGACTGTGGTGGTGGAGGTGGCGGCGACAACGGTGGCGGTGGTGGTGGTGATGGTGATGGTAGTAGTGGAGCAGTTCAAAACAATATTTTTTTTTGTAAAATACTCATGAGAAATAATTTTTAGAAACACTTTAAAAAAATTACTCCAAACACACTCTTAGGGATCTATTTTTTCCTATTAAATTTGGAGTTTTAATATTAGTCGTTAGATTAACTTTAAAATAAAATTTAAAACGATCTCAATCGCGAATAACAAAAGTTATTTTATTTGTCTTTTAAGATTTGAATTGTAAACTATTTTATTATATAGATATTATGTATACATTAATGTCATATATAAATACAATGATAAAATATGTATTTATATATTTTTTTAAAAAATAAAAATTCCATCTTACCAAGCACAAAAAAAAAATATATTATTTTAATTTTCCGTCCATCCTACCAAATCTAATTTTAGAGAATTTTTAACTGAGGTGATATTAAAAAAGTTTCTACAGGTAATGTTTACAAGGAAAAGTCTATCAATTAGTTCTTCACTTACATATTTATACCCTAAAGTTTACATGAAAACATTTCTATTCGCATTGTTCGCCAAGGATATTTATGCCACCTGTTATATCCTCACTTACATATCTAGAGCTCATAATTTATAGCTTTTACGATATTTGCATACACAAATCACCCGTAGTCCTTGCATTTTGTGGTCAAAAATCCAAATATTATTGTGTTTGTTTGTGTGATCTAAATCAAAAAAATACGATACTCGCAAATCTAAAACTATGATATCTTGGAGTGCTACAACGCATGCCTTGTAAGTAATCAAGGGGGCATGGATTTGTCAAGGGGTCATATGCTTACTACCAAGCTCGTTGTTGTGGTTGTTGGTGCAGTTAGTACAATACTAAGGCTTTAGAATTTTTTTTTTTTTTGTTGTTATTGCTGCAATTACTATATATTAATAATATGCTGCTTCATAACTTATACTCCGTTTGATAGGAAAGATAGAAAGTAGGAGGAATGAAAAACATGATATATACACTTTTTATCCTCTAAAAAAAATAAATAAGAATGATACACTTTCATTTATTTGTGTTTGATTGTATGGATGGAAAATAAATAAATAAATATATTTATTTATTTATTTATTTTAATTTAAAATTTTTTTAAAAAAAAAATATAAATACATATTTTATCATTGTATTTATATATGAAATTAATATATACATAATATATGTATANATATTTATTTATTTATTTATTTTAATTTAAAATTTTTTTAAAAAAAAAATATAAATACATATTTTATCATTGTATTTATATATGAAATTAATATATACATAATATATGTATATATTAAAGGATAGATAGACAAATAAAATACATTTCAACACAAATAATAAACTTTTCATCTACTTTCTTTTTAATTTTGAAAGGATTGATTTTGGTAAGTTGGAAAAAAAACTCATCCATCATATTTTCCTTTCTTACTAAATATAATATTTTATTTATTCTTCAAACTTTTCGTTCTTTTATTTTTTCACCACATCAAACGAAGCATTAATATGATTTGGTGTCATTATTAGCCACTCTTCATTGAGGGGAGACTCGTAGGTAGATTTCATAAAAGTTCTTTACTTTTGGCTTCTTTATTTTTACTTCTTCTGGATTTTTATGAGAAGAATANGAGACTCGTAGGTAGATTTCATAAAAGTTCTTTACTTTTGGCTTCTTTATTTTGACTTCTTCTGGATTTTTATGAGAAGAATAAATACTAAGTAAGCAAAAGCTTTAGGTCGTAAATTAAGGTTAGTTGGGAAAACGTCAAGAAGGGATGATGATGCAATAATATCTCCGTGACGACGACCTCAGAAGCAATTATTTATTACGAATCCATTGTNTAAATACTAAGTAAGCAAAAGCTTTAGGTCGTAAATTAAGGTTAGTTGGGAAAACGTTAAGAAGGGATGATGATGCAATAATATCTCCGTGACGACGACCTCAGAAGCAATTATTTATTACGAATCCATTGTATTGACTTCCTACTGAAAGAGGTCAATCTCATTTTTATTTATTACAAATCCATTGCNGGAGACTCGTAGGTAGATTTCATAAAAGTTCTTTACTTTTGGCTTCTTTATTTTGACTTCTTCTGGATTTTTATGAGAAGAATAAATACTAAGTAAGCAAAAGCTTTAGGTCGTAAATTAAGGTTAGTTGGGAAAACGTCAAGAAGGGATGATGATGCAATAATATCTCCGTGACGACGACCTCAGAAGCAATTATTTATTACGAATCCATTGTATTGATCGTGTTCTCAAAGAGGTCAATCTTATTAAATTATCAACAATTAATGTTACATCCACCAGAATTTGGATCTCAAATCAAGGTGAATCGTAAGATTAGTAATTTCCACAAATTTTCAATAACTGGCTAATGACTATCATTGTACTCCATTATNCTTATTAAATTATCAACAATTAATGTTACATCCACCAGAATTTGGATCTCAAATCAAATCAAGGTGAATCGTAAGATTAGTAATTTCCACAAATTTTCAATAACTGGCTAATGACTATCATTGTACCCCATTACTTTTTTTTTTTGTATTATTTTAACCGATTCCTTTGTTGCGAAATTATTTATAATTTTTTATTTTTGGTAAATTTTACTTACACCACTTAGATTTAGGTCATATTTTAGTGACACCCCCTCTAATTTTTGAATTATCACTGCACACCCTTGTAGTTCATGCATGTATTTTAGAAATTACCTTTACTGTCTATGCCGTTACTGACAACCAAAAAATATATATAATGTTATAGCATATTTTCTTATGAATTACCAAATTTGCTCGTGCTCTATATAGACCAAGATAAGACTAGTATATTGTTATTCTCTGTTCATATCTATAATAGATTTGATCAAATTAAACATTAATTTAATAAAATTGAATATTAACTTGATCAAATTAAATGTCAATTTGGTGTTGATTTGATAAAATTAAATGTTAACTTAATAAAATAATGGTTAATTTGGTGTTAATTTGATGAATTTAATTTTTAAGTAATGAAATTGAAT